CCCCAGTACTCTTTCCTGCCATAGCAGGGGGTCGGACTAGATGATCTGCTAAGGTCCCTTCCGACCCTAAAAACTATGAAACTATGATTTGGCCAGATCCAAATCTGAAGATTTGATTCTGATTCAAAGAATTAGTGATGCAGCCATAGATACAGCTTTAAATGCTTTTTCTACATACCTTGAGGTAGCAGACATGGCTTGTGAATGCTGCAATGGTGGGGTGGATGGAACGTCCCACAGGAGTGTGGGGGTCCCCCCACAAACTCAGCAATGAACCTAGAAGTGGATCATAAGTACCTCTGATCCACTTCCAGGTCCACTGCTGAGTGCACAGGGGGGCCCCCCGAGCCTCCCCCCAGATCAGTGATTGGCTGTGGGTGCACCCCCAGACCCAGGAGGCACCAGTCACCAAGTCAGGGGTCGTGGGGGGGAGTCCCCTGCGTGCTCCATGGTGGACCCGGAAATGGACCAGAAGTGGTTTGGGTCCACTTCTGGGTCCACCGCCAAGTGTGCTGGGGACCCCTCTGCACTCCTGTGGGATGCTCCATCCACCCCACCATCTCAGCATTCACGAGCCACACCTGCTACCTTGAGATATGTAGAAAAAACATATAAAGCTGTGTCTATGTCTGAATTGTTGAATCTCTCCAAATCAATTCGGAGGGTTCCAGTTTGATTGGAGAGATTAAAGGGTCTCCTGATTTCAGTTTGGATTTGGAGATTCGGCCACCGAATCAGGCCAAATCTCCACCAAATCGAATCAGTGACCAAAGTTTCGCACAGCCCTAGTTATTAGGTTACTGTGCATTAAGCATCTCATGTAGATGTGACCTCTGTGAAGTAAATCAGTATGAACAGAGGGTGAGTACTAGACCGGAGTCAGAAGATTGGGTTCTGATTCCACGTGTTACTTCTGAATATAAATGACCTTATGCATATTTTCATGTGCCAACGATTCAAAAATGGTCTATAAATTTGCGTGCCCAAATTGCAATGATTATTGTACACCTCAGAGTTAGTTAGCAATCATAATGTTAGTTGAAGGCAGAAGTGCTCAGAGCTTCTGAAATTCAAACTCTAAATATTTAAGGGTTGGGTGAGCTGTATTAAAGAAAATATAATTTGGCAAAAGGCAAGCCTCAAATTATAGTAATATATTAAATGCTTTGTCTCAAATGTCAACCCCTCCCCCAACCCCAAAACATAAAGAGATGATTCATTTAAATATTTTGCCCAAGCTTACATTAAAAAGATGGGACAAAATAGATTCAGTAAGAAAGCATGGAGAAAGAAAGTAAGGGTGGAAGAAACAAAAGGCTGACATCTTTGTTGCTGCTTCTTTGGCAGATGACCCCGTGTACATGGACAATCAGGCTCACAGAGAAGAATATGTTCTGAATGAACATGGGATGCTGTACGAGGGAGTACACAAGCACATTACTTCTAGACCGTGGCACTTTGGACAGGTGAATGCAGTGCTCTGAGACTTCTTGTGAACTTGTTAACAAATCAAGAGGGCAATAGACTGGTTCTGACCTTTTTCTAGTATTGGTATATTTCAGGATTTACAGAAATTTTTGGTGTGCTACACAATTTTGTAAGACTTTTGTGCAGCAGTCCAGATTACGCTCTTGTTTTAACATTTTGCATGGACTACAACAATCCTTTCTACATGGCTTATATGGTAGCAGACTCAACTTTGAAGGAAAACCAAATGAACTTATTTTGGCTCTGTAAAGTTGCAGAGAATTTTCTGCAAAATGGAGAGAAGGATATGGGCCCCCTGAAGGAAAAGGGATAATGTTTCTATTGGCAAAGCATGTTTACTGATATTATAGAAAGTCTTATCCAATCTCTATGCCAATAGATATGAAATGCAATATAAACTATTAAATACTGGGATTAAAGAAGGGAGCTTCCCACAAGCATCCCACTGATTTAAAGGAAAATAAAAGTGTCAAATCAGTGACTTCAGTCCATAAAGTCTGTTACTAACCCTCTTTTTTTGTATAATTAGTTTGAAAATGGGATTCTGGATATCTGCCTGAAGGTCTTGGATATAGGTTCAAATTACCACCAAGGCTCTGAACGAGGTTGTCGCTGGCGTAATGATCCTGTGCATGTCAGTATGGTGGTAAACCACATAGTAAGTGAAGGGTTTCTTTCCTTTTACCTTTATCTACATCAGCAGTACTGACCTGCGTTTTTTAGAAGAGTTTATCACAAGAAATCCCCTCACTACAAAGAGTTACTCATGGAGGAATTTGACTTTAAACACAACCTAGCTTTTTCTTAACTCTGTTACTTACTGCAGCATTTATCATCTGTGGTTCTCAGAAAATATGAAACCATGATTATTGCTTTATTCTTTCCAGCTTTGTGGCCATCACAGTAACAGCATCATGAAGCTCCCAGACAACAATGATTACCTGAAGGGAACTAACCCATTAACATGGAATGGAAGTGTCCCCATTCTTCAACAGTGGTATAATGGAAGGTGTAGGCCAGTCAGATTTGGAGACTGTCTCACTCTTGCATCAGTGATGTGCACAGGTACGCAGGCAAGAAAAACTTTCCCAAAAACTGATTGCAAATTATTCATCTGATCTACATACTACCAGAAAAAAGGATTTTTTTTGTTCCCAGTGTAAAGTAGCTACTTAGTATGAGATCTAATTTTATCTCTGTAGTTTTCCATACCATAGTCAGAGGAAGAAGAAAATCACTACTCTTTCCCCCCTAAATTTGACATCAATTAGTACTATAAGCCATGGCATTTGCTAAGCATTTCTTATAGCGATTTAAGAAAACCAGGGCAAACCTGGAATATTGTATATGATAGTATACTCTTCTAGGTCAAGTTTGGAAAATGATGCGAAGGAACAAGAGGTGGCAATAGGAACAAAATGCCTGATTATGGCTTTTCCTCAGAAATGAACTGTCAACTGTTATCCTATTTAATGGAAGAAATGGGAGTTTTAGTGTGCTAGACATCATAGAGAAGTGCCAATGGCAAGGCTGTACTGATCACTTACTGAAGCTAAATCTACTTTGGGTTAAGGAAACTATTTTGTCATAGAGTGGCATTCACATTAACATAATAGAAAACTTTGGCTGGTTTGTTAAAAAATGCCATTGTTGCAGAACCTGAACAGGGAGGCAACCAAAAAGGCTATCATCTCTGTTATTACTTTACACTGTTTTCCAAATACCTGAAAGGAGCCCTTAGTGAGACTCCGTTTGTACCCTGTCTGATGCACCTATGCATATTGTAACATACAGATATACCTTCTATGTGTTAACAATTTGAGAATTATTTGAAAAATAGGAAGGAAAGAACTCAACTAACTAATTCTAGGGAATTGCTGCTTATAGATTCTTTTGTGAAAATAGTCTAAGAGTATTTTTTTTTCCTTGTAGTGATGAGGTGTTTGGGAATTCCAAGCCGTGTCATAACAAATTTCTGTTCTCCACACTGTGCTGAGAACCCCCTTGCTGTCAATGAACTTTTCGACTCTACTGGCAAAACCCTGTGTGGAAAAGACAAATTATGGTAAGTGTGAAATAGGGCATTAGAGCTCCCTATGTTGTTGTGTGCTGTTTTAGATGTACAAGGAAGATAGAAAGACTCATATTAGCCTGCTAATGCAGCATTTCTGCATGTCCATTTCTTCAGATTTCAAGACTACTGCAATAATTCAGTAACTATATACTAATGGCAGCCACATGACTACTGAATCTACATGAAAAACTCATAAAACATACATAAGGACAAAACTACTTACGCTTTTCCTTTGCAAAAAAATAAGACCATCCCTCTTTGAGTAGTCCAAAAATACTAACTGGGCCATGAAACACAAGGGCTAAACCCATCATAGAGTTGAGCCATCATCTTCCATCCTCCATAACTTCGTTGATAATTGTGTTTGGTAGTTGGTTTTATGAAAATCCTTATCACTGACCAAAACTACTGTAGATGTATCCTCACAACTGTATCTATGATCCATGCTCTTAGTCTGGTTGGATGAGAATTTTAGCTTGTATTAAAGTATAGGCCTTAAGAGTTGTTGACAAAGTCTCTGATTTTTTACTTTCAAGAAAGAAGAGAAAATCTACAGAGAAGGACTAGGAGGATGATCAAGGGAATGGAGGCCAGATTTTACAAGAAGTTGCTAAAAGAGATTGGCTTGTTTAGTGCAGTACAATGAAAGATAAGAGGGGATATTCTTATTCTATATATATATATATATATATATATATATATATATATAAAAATAAATGGAGGTAAACTAAGGACGGGGGAAGAACTATTTGAGGTAAAGACAGGTTTTGGCATAAGAATGCATAGATATTAACTGGCTATGAATAAATTTAAACTGGAAATTAGAAGAAAGTTTCTAAACATCAGAACAGAAGGGTTCTTGAGCAACCTTCCAACATGGCAAGATGGGTGGGGTAAACAACCTAACCATAGATTCAATGGAGCTTAATCTATTTACATGAAAAGGTTTATATGAAAGGGGTGCCTGCAATAGCAGGCACGTTTACTTAGTGATTGAAGAAGTCTCTTACAATTCTGTGTTCCTACAGGGCATATCACTGCTGGAATGAATCCTGGATGGCTCGCAGAGACCTAGGTCTCTGCAGTAGTAACTGGCAATGTCTGGATCCAACACCCATGGAGTCTGGAAGAGGTGAATGAAGCCTGTATCCTGTATCCTGCATGCTTGTGTTCTTGAAGTAGTATAGTGAGCATTTAATGTTATGCCATGTTATGATATATTTACCTGTATATATCCTAGGTTCAGCTTGCTGTGGCCCTACCTCAATCAGAAGTGTTAAAGATGGAGAACTGGATTTGGACTATGATGGCCAACATATATTTTCTCGTCTGAATGCAAGCTGTATTGGTTGGCTTTCCAAAAACAGTGACAAGAAAGAAAAACTTTGCTATGATGCTTGGCTTTGTGGGCAGTGTGTTAGCACTAAGTCTGTTGGCAATGATTGTTGTGAAGATATCACTGGAGCATACAAATATGA